AGAAGTTTTTCTTAAATTAAATAATTTCAACGAAATCTGTGTTTTATTCGAAATTTGCAGGTACATGCATCATTATCATTTTCAGCAAAATTAAATCAATATCAGCACATTTCAGTTTCTTAGAAATATTGACGACACTTTATGATAAGAAATAAATGAAGGTGAATAATAAATCGTGGTTTTTAATAAATAAATTTCGGCGATCAGTTCTACAATGGGTGAATTATCATTTCGACGAACTGCGGGTAGGTGAATTTTCCAGTCGGTGAACCTTCTGTCGGTGAAAATTAGTAGTCAAAGTGAAGTACTTTTGCCAATACTATTCACATCGTGATTGACTACATCCTAGGAAGTGTCGTTCGAAGAGAGTTCGAAGGAGTAATCATCTGGCTAGGCAAAAGTACCACGATTTAGAGTGTGTGGACGACGTATTTCAGGTCGGCTACTCAGGCGGTGGTCTGGAAAGCCGTAAGGCCAGTGCGAAAAAGAAGTTGGTTTATGCAGAAGAATTGGAAAAATGCGCAGGTGAAGATGTTAGGCGATTCAAGTTGTTTGATAGAATTATGGTTAAAGATGGAAGGCGTGATAAAGTTATTAACAGGCCGATCAGACTTTTCAACATTAAAATCTACGATTCTGGATAAAGTATGAAACAAGCGCTCAACATGGATAAATATTAAGGTTACGATTGAAAATAGCGATACGTTCTTTTGTATGGATGGGCTCAAAATAGCTGCAGAAAGGACACCAGTGCTGGTAGGATAAAGTGGCCGAAACGTACGAATTCGACGTTCATCTTATGGGATCCGACCACGGGGCATAGGAGGAAAAGGGTACTCTCAAAAGTTGACAAAACTTGTTAGAAGCGGATCCGCGTCGGACAAGGAATACGTGCTTTGTAAAAGGAGCTAATGCCTAAAGAAATCCATAGGCTTGCTTGATGCATGTCAGAAGTCATCAGTCTGGGATAGATGGAGCTGTTAAAGTACTGCGTGTCTGAGGCCAGTGGACAGTTGCCATTGAAGGAAAGCATTGAACACATGTTCATCATCCTCATTTACGACCGTCTGATGTAACTAAGACAAAAACGTTCGGTTGTTGAATATGCGGTGGTCATATTTCATATACATAAGCGTGGGTCCACGCACATCTGTACAATTGCTACCTAGACGCCTGAGTGACGCATTTCACGCGTCGTCGTCACGGCAACTTCTTCGGAAAACAAGTCAGTATCTCGCCCACGCTCTCTAGCAACTGATCGATCGGTAGAAATGTGGCGAAGAATCATGAACGGCTAACGCGGGCGATGTTGTAAAAAGTTGTTGTTTACGAAAGAGCTGGAAGAACGGGGACGGACACGTTGCATGGCTACGATGGGTGGTGGGAGTCAAGGAACGGTTGCACGCTCCTCCTTCCTTATGGTGTCATGTAGTTGGTGACAACGCGACAATTTCTCGTCATAATCGATAATTGCGGGCAGCGGAACATGACGCGGCATGGAACGATTGCCGCGATTGGTCACGTGACGCAGCTTATTCACCTAGCGCCGCGTGACTCAGCGACTTCATTCATAAGTTAGTAGTCGTAGTAGTAGCGGCGCTGTCAAAGAGGTCGTGTAGTCGCTGT